TTTTTCTTCTTTGAATTAATAGTTTTGAGGATATAAATCTAACCAAGCTTGCAAAACTGAGAAAATTTTCACATTAAATATATATGGTGATAGTTTATATGATTAATGCAATGAGAAAAAGATTATCATAGCTAAGTTCTATAGAAGCGGTTATATGTATTTTGCTGCCCTCTACTGGGGATCAAAGAATGACTTTTCAGTTCCATCTCAATTAAAACCTTCATAATGGAAATTAAATAATTACCTGGTGAAGTTCTAAGAACCAGGGATAAAAAGAGTTAATAAAAAATACAGTAAATAAAATACAGATAAAATACCCCAAAACTATAAACCCCAAGGGTTTGTTGGGGTTTTCCCCTCAATTGTTCCTACTTTACATTTTCGACCAAGTTGATCAAAATCTGGCAGACAGCTTTTATTCAGAATTATTTTTACCCTTAAGACTGAGAGTTTCATTCTGAATTGCAATGAGTCAGATTAATCAGTTTTATCAGTATGAGATACACAGATATAAAATCTTTTGAATAGCTAAAATTTCATCTCAAGATTTGCTAATCTCACACCATCCATATGGTTCTGGTAAATTAGCTGACTTTATTCCATGAAATAATTTTGTTTCAGCTCATTTAATCCTCAAAATACTAATTCTTACTATTAGACAAGTACTATTAATATTCCTCATTTAACATATGAAGAAATCTAGGCATGAAGAACTAGATAAATTTTCAGAAGACTCACTGGAAAAAGGAAGTGGGGATTTGAACCGGGCAAACCCACTACAGAAGCTATGCTTGTTGTAACTACAGTGAAAGAGTTTGTATGTAGCATGGTGCTGACACACCATTACAATGCATATTGTCCTTGCAGGACAAAATCATTCACCGATTCATTTCTGAAAGTCAGTGTAAGATGGTTAATCTCAAATTTGTTCAAGGCAAAAATATATTAGGACATAACATATACCATGATAAATTACAGAACTATTTCACCTTGAAATGTTAATTTTAAAAGTAAGGATATACCAGCTTGCATTCCCACCAACAGTGTAGGAGGGTTCCCCTTTCCCCACATCCCCGCCAACCACTCTGGAAAACAGTATGGAGGTTCCTCAAAAAGTTGAAAATAGAGCTACCCTACGATCCAGCAATTGCACTACTGGGTATTTACCCCAAAGATACAAATGTAGGGATCCGAAGGGGTACATGCACCCCAATGTTTATAGCAGCAATGTCTACAATAGCCAAACTGTGGAAAGAGCCAAGATGTCCATCGACAGATGAATGGATAAAGAAGATGTGGTATATATACACAATGGAATATTATGCAGCCATCAAAAGGAATGAGATCTTGCCATTTGCAACGACGTGGATGGAACTGGAGGGTGTTATGCTGAGTGAAATAAGTCAATCAGAGAAAGACACGTATCATATGACCTCACTGATATGAGGAATTCTTAATCTCAGGAAACAAACTGAGGGTTGCTGGCGTGGTGGGGGGTGGGAGGGATGGGGTGGCTGGGTGATAGACATTGGGGAGGGTATGTATGTGCTATGGTGAGCGCTGTGAATTGTGCAAGACTGTTGAATCACAGATCTGTACCTCTGAAACAAATAATGCAATATATGTTAAGAAAAAAAAAAGAAGATAGCAGGAGGGGAAGAATGAAGGGCGGTAAATCGGAGGGGGAGATGAACCATGAGAGATGATGGATTCTGAAAAACAAACAGGGTTCTAGAGGGGAGGGGCGTGAGGGGATGGGTTAGCCTGGTGATGGGTATTAAAGAGGGCACATTCTGCGTGGAGCACTGGGTGTTATGCACAAACAATGAATCATGGAACACTACATCAAAAACTAACGATGTAATGTATGGTGATTAACATAACAATAAAAAATTTTAAAGAAAAAAAAAGTAAGGACACTAAAAGTAACATGGTTTGTATTCCACGGGTTTTATTCTCAGAATTCTCCATGTTTTTTCTAACCACCCCCCCCTTCCCAGCCTTTGCTCATTTTCATTATCTTGACATGACTTGGTTATGTTTAATACCTCCTAGCCTTTCAAATCTGTTTATAATCTTTGATTGCTTTAGGACATTTTTCCTTACCCTGTCCTATGTGCTTGGGCAGCAAATAACAAAATACTATTTTGTTATGGCAGTATTACGACTGGTGGGCTTAAACAACAGAAAGTAATTTTCTCACAATTCTAGAGACTGGAAGTCCAAGATCAATGTGGGCTAACTTCCTGGCTTGCTGACAGTCACCTTATCACTGTGTGCTCGCAGGACACTTCCTGCATGCATGTAGAGAGATTTCCCTCTTCCTCTTCCTACAAGGGCATCAGTCCTATAGGATTAGTACCCTCTCCTTATGACCTCATTTAACCTGCATTACCACCCATAAGCCCTTGTTTCCAATATGGTCACAGGGGGGTTAAGGCTTCCATATATGAATTTGGGAGAGACACAATTTAGTCCATAGCGTTTTCTCCTTTCTTAGAATGTATTGGAATCACCTGTTTACTTCCCTGCACCTCATTACACATGAACTACCTCAGGCCAGACAGTGCAACTATATTACCATTGTATCCTTGGCACCGTTCCTGCCACTCAATGGCCACATGGTCAATGGTGGTTGAATGAATGAATAGGTGATACTAACTACCCCGTTCTGCTCCTTTACCACTGCCTTAACAGGTATTGCCATAATTAGCTGGGGGCTAGGCATAAGAAGATACCCAGGGTGATAGAACATCAAAATAAGCCTTATGCTATGGCTGGAACAAGAAAGACGAAAGACAAAAAACAAAACAAAACAAAACCAAAACCAAAAAAAAAAAAAAAAGTGTTGGCAAGAATGTGGAGAAAAGGTACCTTTGTATACTGTTGGTGGGAATGCATATTGGTGCAACCATTGTACAAAATATTATGGAGATTTCTCAAAAAATTAAAAATAGAAATACTGTAAGATCCAATAATTTCACCATTGGATATTCACCCAAAGAAAACAAAAACACTAATTCAAAAAGACATATGCATCCCTACGTTTATTGCAGCATTATTTACAACCACCAAATTATGGAAGCAACCCAAGCACCTGCTGATAGATGAATGGATCAAGAAGACATGGTGTACATACATACAATGGAATATTACCCAGCCATAAAAAAGAATGAAATCTTGTCATTTGCAACAACATGGATGGGCCTAGAGCATATTATGCTAAGTGAAATAAGTCAGAGAATGACAAATACCATATGATTTCACTTGCGTGCGGCATCTAAAAAACAAAATGAACAAACAGAAAGCAGAAACATACCTATAAATACAGAGAACAGACTGATAGTTGCCAGAGGGGAGATGACTGGGAGGATGGGAAAAATGGGTGAAAGGGAGTAAGAGGTACAGGCTTCTAGTTACGGAATGATGAAAGGCAAAGCACAGGCAATGCAGTCAATAACATTATAGCATCATATGGGGACAGATGGTGGCCACACTATACCGTTGTAGCGTTGTATGGTGACAGATGGTGAGCACAGCATACACTATGTTGTACACCTGAAACTAATGTAACACTGTGTGTCAACTGTACTTCAATAAAAAAAGCAAAAACAACAAAAAACAAGCCTTGTGCTAACTCTGCTACTGAATGTTATGGGGTCCTCATCAGAGTGGTAGAATGTCATGTCAGTTAAACTAAACACAGATCAACAGCCACTCCCGGGCCAGGAAGGAGGTGCTGCACCTCTTTATGTGAGTGGCACACCAACCGAATTTCTAAGTTCTTATTTCGGATGAACAAGTTTGTAGAGAATAGGGTAAATAATTTAATAAAGTATATCCACTGAATAAGTGACTATGGGATATGGATACTATACTCATCCATCAGTTCAAATTATGTATAAAAAAGAAACCACGGCAACAGGCCTGTACAAAACTTTATTGTACTTTGAGTAACAAGCATGTAACAAAATTTAGAGCATGATTAGGATGAATATCTCAAACATGTTCCTTACAAAAGCAGTAAGTACAGTACACAAAGACTGTTCATAATATTTTAAAGTCTGCTAAAAATATCAACACATACTAGGAGCTGTGGAGTTATCTTTCCTTTCGACTAGAGCATTTATTCCCATTAGTTTTGCTACAAATCAAAGTTAACATATAGGAACATACACATATAATAAGTGAAATGGAAGATGAAGGCATACAACAAACATTCCAATTACTAAGCAAATGTGAAGAATGAAGTCTTTTTAGCATTCCTGAACCACCTGCAATTCCTTGGAACATACTGACTAGGTACCATGAAACTTTTTTCTAACATATTTTTAACGTGACACAATTTTGACCATTCCCCATGTAATCAATACTGTCTCTTAGCATAATTTGAGGATTTGCACATGTACTTAAGAAACACTTTCATCTCATTCAGAGGTGATCATTCAAAACCCTGAAAGCCCACCAGTCCACCGTCCCTCCCCAATTAGGACAGACACTGGAGTAAATGGCTGGTGGGGCAACACAGTCGGTCCTAGCCGAGTGTCAGCCCTGATGTTCTTTCCAACGACACCAGACATGTGTTGGCTAATGTGACAAGCATGTGCTATGAGATATGAAACATGAAATTCACACAGACATGAAATTGAACTCAAATACTCTGCTGCATGGAGGGTGAATGTGAAATATTTCACAGTGACTGAAATTGACTGGTAACAGGCAATGGTGGGTTAAGATTCAACTTTGATTAAAATAAATGGACTTACAAGAAACCCTTGAGATTTAGTTAATGCTACTAATCTAAAGGCTCTTGAATTACTGCAGTCTCTAGAATCAGTATATGTGATCTTTTATATATTTTTCCTTAAGAAAAAAATAATAATAAAAACACCGAGGTACTTTAGTTTCTTTTCAAGGGATTACTGTTGTTATCTTCCTGAGATGCAAAAGACCATAAGAGAAAAGCACCATGCCTAGGTTGCTGAATGAGGCATCAGACACTAATAGTTTGGTCCTTTTCTAAATGGATCTCTTCCGACAATCACACTAAAACATAGCGATGGATCGCAGATGCCAGGGGGTCCTGGTTGCCCTTGGATTCCGGGTTTTCCATGATCTCCATCTTTGCCTGGGAGACCTGGGTCTCCTGGAGGACCTTCTTTGCTTATTCCAGGAGGGCCCTCTGGACCTAAGATGGGACATGAGCAATATATGAACAGAGGAGTTTGGCTGTTGATGATGATAGAGCTGATTCTGTAAGAAATTTAAACTGAAAAAAAAAATTTAAGTTTTACGTATTTGCACAGATGTGAAAAGAGGAGGGACTCTCTTGCTAATACTATATACCTTCCATGTGGAAAAGAACTATTCAAAAATAATCAGCAATTTTTATAAAACTGGGCTAAGCTATACTAATATAGCAATCATGCTGCTGATTAGGACACAGAGCTAACATTCTAATATTTTAATTGGTGGGTTGCCCAAACATTTCTTCCTTCCAGCATATCTTCTGTCAATATCATTATATATTAGCAAGTGAATAGATCAGTAATCTAAAACTTCACTGAAGTCACTTCTGTGCCATATTTACAGTTAAATGACTATTTTCATTAGACACATTTTTAAGTTTCCACATTTAAATAGTCATTACCATGCAATAATTGTGATCCGTATACACACAAAGGTGTTATAGCACTCATTTGTGAATCATTGTCTAATTAGTTCAATTAGCATGCTCAAAGGAAGGAGAGTTAATTTAGGATTTTGGCCTTTTAAAAAAGTTGATGACTCAAAAGAACAAAATATTCAGCTTTTGAAATGGGGCAGAGTAGTCTGAGGTACTTTCTATTACTAATTATTCCTGCTGCTATTACTAAGAAACATTTATTTAGCGCTTAACTACAACTGTAGATACTGTTCCAAGTATTTTACATAAAGACTGTTGAATCCTTTGATCCACTCAAAAGCTTCTTGAGGTAATAACTAGAATAATAATAGGGGGCACCTGGGTGGCTTAGTCAGTTGAGCGTCTGACTTCGGCTCAGGTCATGATCTCAGGCTCCTGCAATCAAGCCTAGCATCAGGCTCCCTGCTCAGCGGGGAGTCTGCTCACGCACGCTCTCACATGCACTCTCTCCCTCTCTTAAATAAATAAAATCTTTAAAAATAATAGTACATTTATTGAAAACATGATTGTTATGCACTGTTCCAAATGCCCTACGTGTATTAACTCGTATCATTTTCCAATAATGTCATGAGGCACATAACATCACCATTTCACAAATGAGGAAACAGAGGCATAACAAATTTAAATAACACAGCTAGCAGAGGGTGACTTAAGAGTCCTCCATTTCAGTTATTCTGCTTCCTTGAGAATCAAAGATTGAACAGTGATACACACTAGATAAACATGAGTGACTAAAACCATTCAAGAACTAGTCTACAGAGTAGTTTTCTAAGGCATCCAAATGAATAAACAAGAGAAAATCCTGAGTGATTCATGAATATGATAGAGGAAGTCTAGGAGTTAGAGCTCAATGTGTTGAATGTGAATCATTCAGAAAAGGAAATAAATGTCTTGATTTTAAATTTTTTGACATAGGTTGGTGATGATTTTCTTAAAGCCAAATGTGCAGCAACACTTACGAGCATATAACAAGTCTTACCTGGGGGACCAGGAGGACCTTGTTCTCCGGGGTATCCAAACCCTTGGATCCCTTTTGCCCCATTTCTTCCTGGTAGACCTGCAGAGTGTCAAAGACGGGAGTAAGCTTACTTTTCCTATAAAATCACTTCCTCCTAGATTGTTTCTTTCAAAGCTGTTCATACACACATTGAAAGAAAAATAAATCTTTTAAAAATAGCTTGCCATTTATTATTTCTCATGGAAAATGGAATTTTTGAAGCAAAAATTTCTAAAATTATCAGTGATCTAGAAAGATGTAACAAGGATTACATATTAAAAAGGAAAATGGTTTGGGATTATTAGCCCTTTCCCTTAATCATAGTTGTTTATTTATTACTGATTGAACATCTAAATTGTTCATATAATAGTAAATGAAAAGGGAAGTATTATCAAATGACATTTCATATAAACATTCAAAGACAGAGAAGTAAGTTGTGGACCATTAGGAAGTTTGGTTGCAAAACATAATTTTTCCTGTAAGAGAAAAAAACCTTTTCAATAAGGTAACAGAAGTTACTGAGGTCAAAATAAAGGAAATAGTGCTGTGACTTTCTATTTAAAGACCTTCTTATTAAAGACTCAGGCAAAATCTCTAAGTGCATTGTCAACGTTTTCTAATTTGTACTTCACAAGCTTTAAACTTTAACCTTTCTCTACTTCAGAATATTGCTTTAAGAAAACAGAAAATTTGCTTTTTAACTAGTTGACAAATTATCTAGAGACTGAGGTATACAAGAGCTTTTTGGCATCATAAAAACAAAGATGAACCCTTGCCTATTAAATCAGTTTAGAGGGTGAATACAAACCATACCCTTTTTTATTGTTCATTTGCTTATGCACATAAAGTTAAGTACCTTTTAATCCTCTGGCACCTGGACGTCCAGGAGCACCCACTAACCCAGGAACACCATCTCTTCCTGGCAAACCAGGAAATCCTCGAGGACCTTCCGGGCCTATGGGACCAGGTGGCCCAGGAATGCCAGGGGAACCATGTTGGGACTGGCAATGATCACAACTTTGAATTCTTCCACTCTGAAGTAAGACTGGTAGCTGAGCTTAAAAACAAAGAAGTCCCACCCCTTATGTTTAAATGGCAAATGAGCATTAGTAACATCTCTACTCATTTTTTACAATTTACAGATGCCAATCTGTTGACCAATAATTTCACTTCTAGGAATTTAACTCTGGAAATACTCATTGGTCTGTGTCATCATTTTATTATAGCAATTGCTTAAAATGGGAGGGAAAAGTGAAAGCAAACCTCAAAAAAGAAACTGGCAAATTGTAGACATCCATATTTATGAATTAAATTTTCAGAATTATGTCAGAAAAGAAAAGAAAATTTAATTCATGGTGAAATCATGATAAATTTCTTTATTAAAAAGATTACAAAAGAGTACATATAATTTTCATCTTCATAAACATACTCATCTAGAAAAAAACAGGGGTTTATAAATGTCCTTTATTTTCTTATCTTACTTATATCTTTTATAATTTCTACCAAGAATCTCTATTACTTTAGTAACTTTAAAGTTATTAAAATCTGTTTGAGGGGCATCTGGGTGGCTCAGTCGTTAAGCGTCTGCCTTCGGCTCAGGTCATGATCCCAGGGTCCTGGGATCGAGCCCCACGTCGGGCTCCCTGCTCAGCGGGAAGCCTGCTTCTTCTCCCACTCCCCCTGCTTGTGTTCCCTCTCTTGTCCCTCTCTCTGTCAAATAAATAAAAATCTTTAAAAGAAAAAGAAATAAAATCTGTTTGAGACTTACCTCTTAATACATCAGTGCAAACTTGTCGAATAAACTGTTCTGAAAATTCTCTCCCCTGCATCAAATTATTTGGTGTTATAACATGTACGTACCAAGTAAAAAGCAATGAAAACACAAGAACTATGGAAGAAGCAGAATACGTACAGGTTTCCCATCCAATCCTGGAGGTCCCTGAGGACCCGCTTCCCCACGCTGCCCCTGGGGACCCACAGGCCCCATCAGGCCATCCACCCCAGACTCTCCTTTTGGTCCAGTGGCACCTCTGACACCAGGCTCTCCCTTTTCACCTCTCTGAAATCAGAAGAAATCTTTAAAAGCTCTATTTAAATATTTCAGAAGGTATAATTGCATCACAGAATTCCTTAAGGATATGCATATGACTATATACATATGTATATATGATGTACATTATATAGGGAACAGCTGTGAAATGCTGTTATTAATCAGAAACTTCATATATTTATCCAACCACCCAACCACCCAACTCCACAAATATCCTCTCTTCATTGAGCGTATTGTGTAGGCAATATGTTTAGTGCCAGAGAAACAGCAAACACGACACAGTCCTGTTCCCAAAGAGTTTAAATTCTAGAGAGACAAGTACAGAAACACCATGTTCTTTGTTGAATATATATGCAGAAAAAAACTTAGCTCCTAATCTAGAAGAACCATTAATGTTCACAAATATGTAACATTTCATAACCAATTCAATGAATCCACATATTATGAAAATCACTAAGAACTGAAGAACATGAAAAGCATTTTCTGTTTGTGATGTCAATAGCTAGATTTATACAGCATTGAAAATTGAAGCAATAAGGACTGAAAAGAGAGCATAAGACATGAAGAAACATACCTCTCCTTTTGCACCATGATGGCCTTGAATTCCCTTTGGAAATAGGGAAAAAAAACTGTAATAATTGTGCAAGGTACAGTACTAGAAATGTGGCATGCACCTTTTGCCACATGTTTAATCAAACTTTAGTTTTTAATTTGAAAAGTACTGATAGAATCAGTGAAAGAATTACACATGATACCTGTTTTGTCTTTTTAAAGGAGACTAATGACTAGGCAATATGCTAACTGGATAATAGAAAAATGTGAATTTATGTAACTATTTCATTCTTAGATATGAATATTTTTATATACTGCAGGTCAAATATGTAGGTTAGAATGGGATTCTAGCTGAATTCTATTTAAATTCTATTCTGATTTTTAAATACATTACTATTTTAATGGAAATTAAACTCAAATCAAGTAAGATATATTTAGTCTTTTATTTGGTGATTAAATGTTCTATTTTCCCAAGTTTATGCTCTTAAAATTAAATTTCAATTGAGTACTATTTGTAAAAGATGAGTTAAAGCAAAGATGCCATTCAAAGTGATTAATAGGGAAGAAAATACCCATCTGTCCTATGCCTAAACCATGCACAGCTGGTAATTCAGAGATTAGAAAGGCAGTGTGAGGTATAAACGGTATTCTTCCCAAGTGATACACACACTGGGGAGGCCACACAGGAAACTCACTCACCATTACAATCATTGAATGCATCTGGATGGCTCTATTAAATTATTTCCCACTCATCTCTCATGTATTCATTACAATGACACATTACAGGTGATAAGAACTTTCAAGAAAGGCATTAGAATTTCCCATTTTTGAAATTCCTTGCACACTCAGGCTCTAAACTCACCCAGTACCAGTTCAGGAACAAGGGTAGAGCTTGCACATATACAGGCAGGATTTCATGATTCAACTTTACAATTAGAAAGGGTGGTCCGCAATTCAGTACAAAATTTAGCATATAACATTTCACACTATGAATTTTGCGTTTGAATATTTATTTGGCTTCATCTCTAAGTTCCGTGAACCAGGATACCCAGATTAGACACAAGGGAAGACAAATTAGGGAAAAATCCATGTATGGCGCAGAGAAAGGCAGATTCTCAAATCAAAATGAGAGCCTAAAAATACCAAGTTTTCATGTAAATATGACAAGTAAAACACTGTAAGACTATTCTTGAAGTACTGAGGTTTCTGAAGAAACACAGGGGTGTTCCCTACCAGACATAACCCTACAACTGGAGCTTGGGTAAGAGGAGAGTTCAGTTCACGGGACTAGAACCGAATTAGAGCTGAAACTAAAAACAGCTGTCGTCTGAGAATCCACCAGGATGATTTCATGAGTGAAACATAACACGAAAGCCAAGAAATCACACACTTGCAGCACTTGGTAAGATGACAGGTAACTAGTACTGTTTATTTAAAGAGCTTGGGACAACTATTCCGCTGCTGAAAAGCAAGAATTGCTCTGACCCCCAGGTACTCCCTGAGGGCTCTGAGTTCCTGGTGGTGAGAAAAGCAGCGTCCAACAAATCTAGGGCAGAAGCTTTCTAGGGAACTCAAACCCTGCCCGGGGAACAGACCGCTCTTTCCCTTGAGAAGTGAGGGGAAAAAGAAAACACGTGAAGGGAACTGTGGAGAGTGTCATCTGGAAGCCAGTGACCTAGTGAAGTTGGGAGCTCAGACTCCACCGGAAATAGCCTTCTTTTCAGACAGTTATTGTAAGAATTTGGGGGGAAAGGCCTGAGTTGCAGAGGTTGAATGAAGAGGTGAAGGTCCTCCTATGAGAACAGCTGTTTAAACATATTGTGTGATTAACCCAGGGAAACCAAGGGGCAAGTCTGTATTGCCTGTGAGGAGAAGGGGGACAGAGCTGGTTGTGTCATCAAGAGGATCAGAGTCAAGTGGAGGAGCACGAAAATTAAAAGACACATTCTACTGAACGTAGTTGTATGCAGGCAAACTCGGGCCATTTCTCCTCTTACTTTTGCCCTTGGTGTTAGCTTCTAAATTCTCAACTCTCCTTAATACCAGCACTAACCTTCCATCCTCTATTATAGATAACCTTGTGACCACATGGTCTCAGACCTCGCCTCCATGGTCTCTCACTTCTCCAGCTGAGGGACACAGAGACCTCTGTCCTCAAAGACACCACTCACAGTTTTATCCCCCTCTCTCCAGAACCAGTGTAATTACTGAATCTCTCTTGAATGTCACATTCGAAAGAGGTCTACCCCACCAGGGGACCCATGTGTGCACTTTGCCCTTCCAAGTGTGGACCAAGTTGGATCTGAGCTTAACTATCAGCAATGCAGCAGCACACAAGCTACATCAAGTACAAATTACTTGTAGGCCTCTTTTGGTCCAGTTTAGCTCTGACTGAACTTGCAGGCCATATGGCAATCTCACTACAAACACTACTTAATGAGGAGAGTTTAGACAGGGAAGAAGCAAAACAATTTTACTATGAATCTATTCCATAACACAGTCCCTCAAGATAGTATTTAATTAATCTCCAGTGTAGTAAATTCTATCTCTGAACACGTAAGAGGGAAACAAGTACATTTCTCCCCTCCTAATAGGCTTCAACTACTCATATTTCAAGAAAAAAATCAAGACTGAACAGTAGATATGGAGATACTGCCATTGCATGGCTGCCTTTGGTCAATAACTATTCCAAGATAGTTAGCCATTCACTTGACCAGAAAAAAGCATGGAAAAGCAAGTATAACAGTCACCAATCAGTACAGAAAAATGAAAATATAAGGCAAACAATTAAAGCCAACCATTATCACCACCACCACCTGACATTCTCTTCCTCACATGCTTAGAATATGTACTACATCTGCCCTTCTTCCCACTCATTTCCATTTGCAAGTAACCGGCTCCCAACACCATCCAGTTATGTGATTCATTATTTCATTGACCATCAGAGAAAACAAAAATACCTGTTGCCCTGGGATCCCTTGTCTTCCATTTTCTCCCTTTTGGCCCTTTAAAGTTTAATAAAAATTATTGATTAGCTTGCACACATATAATGCAATCACATCTAAGACACAAACTATGTATTAACCTGTGGTCAAGAAGAAATGTCACCAAAGCAGTGATGCAAATATATAAAATGATGTAAGAGAGAAAGAAGTCTCTCAGAGGAAAAAAAAAAAAATCAACCCTAATATTAACAACATGAAAATAATTTAAAAATCCAATGGCTGTGGACATTTTGTTAATTTCAATGACATAACTATGTTCAGTGCTGACTATACATGTGCAAAGACAAGAAGACATCTTTAAAGGAATTTTTAAAAATTAAAAATACACTACAAAGTGGAATATTACTCATATATTTTGAAAAATGGAATCTTGCCATCTGTGACAACATGGATGGAACATGAGGGCATTATGCAAAGTGAAATAAATCAGAGAAAGACAAATATTGTATGATTTCACCTATATGTGAAATCTAACAAAATAAAGCAAACAAACCAAACCAAACCAAAAAACCTAAGCTCATAGATAGAACAGAATAATGTTTGCCAGAAAGGAGGGGGAGGTGGGTGAAATAGGTGAAGGGGGTCAAAAGACATAAACTTCCTGTTATAAAATAAAGAAGTCCTGGGGATGGGTGTATAGCATGGTTACTACAGTTAATAACACCATATTGTATATCTGAAAGTTGCTGAGAGTGATTCTTAAAAGTTCTCATCAAAAGAAAAAATTTGTAACTATGTATGGTGATAGATGGTAACTAGACTTATTGTGGTGACCACTTCACAGTGTATACAAATTTTGAATAATTATGTTGTACACCTGCAATATAGTTGACTCTTGAACAATGCAGAGGTTGAGGGCACCAACCTCCCTCAAAGTCAAAAATCTGTGTATAACTTTTGACTCCCCCCAGATTTAACTACTAATAGACCACGGTTTGCCAGAAGCCTTATGAATAATATAAACTATCAATTAATGCATCTTTTGTATGTTATATGTAATATATTCTGTTCCTACAATTAAGTTAAAGTAAATGTTAAGAAAATCATAATGAAGAGAAATACATTTATGATACTGTACTATATTTATTGAAAAAAAAACTGCATATAAGTGGAACTGGGGTGTTCAAACCGACACTGTTCAAGAGTCAACCATATACTATTATATGGCAATTATACTTCAGTATGAAGAGTACCATAGAAAACATTTTGCATGAAGATCTTTAAATCAAGACAAAAAGAGAGGAAAATTAATAAAGATATAAACACATTTGTCCCTTTAATAAATACTTTTGGATAGCCATCATGTATAATCCATGGTCCTAGCCCCTAAAGCACTACTTCATCCCTATGTTGGACAAGATAATTAGCAATTTCTAGGAAAACAAATACCTAGGTAATATAATCAATGAATGATCTAGTGACTTAAATTTTAAATCACTCTTGCATCGTGATTTATTCATTTATTTACTTAAGTGAATTCCTAATATTTATTGAGTGACACCTATTTGCTGGCCCAGAGGGACACTGAAACAAAGGTATTGTTTACCTTCATGTTGCTTACTGTGTGGTGGGAAAGATAAGCCATTAAATCAAGAATGATGAAAATGCATACTTAAATATCTGGGCTGGATACTACCGGAACAGGAAGGGGTATCTGACAGAAAGGGCATCTTATAGGGTAGGGAAAAAGACTCAACCTTAAATGACCAAAAAGAGTCAAACAAGGAAGCACTCTCTGGGACAGACTTTATCTTGAAATGTGTGGGGCACCACTGAAGGATTCCTGAGCAGATGTGTAGCTTAGTTATTGCATGCTGGTAGGAGCATGGGAGGAAGGAGGGAGACTGCACTCAAGGGCCCAGCGAGGAGGATACTGCAGTAATCTGAGACCCGTGACAAGAAATGATTAGGACAGTGTGGACAGGAAGAAGGGGCCAAGTTCCAGAGAGACTTAGATGGGAAACTGCAGGTGGAGAGAGAAGAGAATGAATTTTAAGATAACTTTCAAGACTTTTTTCCCTCAGGCCATTACATAGTGCTACAATTACCATGACAAAGAACAGAGTAGGAGATGGTTTATGGGGAAAGGTGACAAGTTCTGTTTTGGACACGTTGATGTGCACATGAGACATCCAAACTCAGTACCAAGAAGGAAATTGGAATATGTAGGTTTAGAGCCTCACAGACATTTCCTTAAAATTTGCCTCACTCTTCATTTCAAAATTAACTGAAAGACATCATGATAAGACCTGAATATCTTCAGTAAAAGAAACTGAATCAACAGTTGAAAAACAATTGTTGAGACTCTAACCTTAGTAGAGTCTAACTCTACTACTACTTCAATTTGTAATTTCCTTTTATGCCTCCAGAAATTCCACAGTTCTTTGCCTTTGTTGCTAAGACACCCAAATGAAATGTGCTTCTAAATCATTAGATGTCCTCAGGCTGATTTAATTTTTTGGTATAATTCTCCTCCCATCTGTTAGTTTGAACATGTTTTATATTTGGTGTTAATGGTTTCTTATCGAATTGATTTGTGCCATAAGCCATTTCAAAGCATTTCTGGAAACATACATACTTTCCATAAATATATAAAGATATTAGAAGTAACGTAATAAAACCTATATCTGTTTTGTTGAACCATTTGGTTCCCAAGTTTTCTACAACACTGAAGTGAAGAAGAATCTTAAAATGAGATTTGGTGTTGACTAAAACGTTTAGAAGACAAGAAGAAAGCTGGGACTTAACAATTAGATACTGATGGCAAAACAGGAAGGAGCTGGAAAAGCCACGCAAGAACTAAAAAGAGCAAAGCCCTGATTTTATTGTCAAACAAAAATAAAAAAGCCAGCAACATACCTGAATGCCTCTTTCACCTTGACTTCCTTTGTCCCCCTGCAAAAAAGGCAGTTTAATGTCTAGCATAACCTAGGATCTTCTGTATCCTTTCAAATAAACATTTTTTCCACAGGAAAAAAATATTTGGTCTCATACAAATTCCACAAGTGCTTTATAAGCAGAAGCTGATTCCAAAACAGTATTTGGGAAGAGAGTAAAATTGTATTATGTCAAAATGATGTTCTAAATGAACACTGTCTTGTGTTCTTACATTTGAAAGGAAAATTGACTACAATTTCTATTTTACCAGGAATAAGGCAATTTTCTGTATTGACCACCATCTGAGGTTAAACAAACATGAGAAAACTCATTTTGACAACTGTTGTTTTATTAAATCAAACTGAAAATCTTCCATTGAGCCAACTGTAACCACACATTTATAGGACGCAGTGAAGTAGAACATTACGTTGAAATGGTATTTTAGAAAACATATGCTTCAAAAATGAATTTGGGAGGAAATCCATATTCCAGAATAAAAATAAAAATCCTAGGATTTTTTCAGCTAGAGGAGATATTCGAGATCAACTAATTCAATGTGAATATGAATATGAATTAATATAATGAATCTGCAAATCAAGAACGATAAGCACTTGCCCTAAGATGAGCTTGGACACTGTTTCCAAATTTCTTTTCTACCTTACCATGCTCTCTAAACAAAGAGCGAGTTTTGTGTTTACAACAAACACAATATAGGTGATCTTTGAAAGGACAAGTTTTGAACACTAAATTTCTCTAAATCCAAACATATATTCACAGGTTTACTTAATATGCACTAAGTTTCTAACACTTCATTGCTGCTATGAGTGTCATCCCTGTCTCTCCTGTGTTACCAGCTGTTTCGTGGAAGAAAAGGTCAAGGATCATACTGGTCATAATAACCTAGGGGCCAAGTATATAATACATGAGAAACAGAAAATTGAAATGGTAGAGAAACTAAAACAGCAAAGGATATATAGATGAGGATGTAAGTTAGTATCCTTTCCAGAATAAAAGCCAGGATATTTACTTTTAGCCTGAAATGTATGTATTTGCAGTGGCATTGACTTCTTTGACAAATGGGCAGTCAGTTGTGTCTTAAAACCCCCAAATAATATTTATATAGATACAGCTCCAGGCTTCCTTTACTTGAGGGGAGAGAGAGAGAGAATGAACCTAAAGTGTTGCTCTCGTCGCTCACCAAATCATTCTACATCAGTATAGATGATTTGTATTTGAAACTCCTCAAATTCATTTTAAGTGAAATTCTATGTGATACACTCTTTCATAAATAGGAACTTCATGGTCAAACATTCTGGGTGTAATTTTTATCTTTTTACATGTTTGCCCCAGTTTTGGTAACAGTAATATTCACATTTCGGTAAGAGCGCCTGACATGGAATACTTTGCCTATAAAATTCTGATTCATGTGGACTGACGGCAAAGCAATCTGAATTCATAGGATATTCCTTAAGGATATGTTTCCATTTTCTGAGCTGCATGCCTCATCCAAGGCCGCCATCTAGGAGACCATACCCACGTAGGGACATGAAAGACACCACAGCTATGGACATGGTGTGGATCAGATCATACGTATACAAATATAAAAGTCAGCCTATCGTTAAAAGTATAATCAGTTGCACTATGATACTTTCACAAAAGGAAGACTTACATGCTAAAAGGCTGATTAAAAGTTAATTATATCTCCTAAATAATGCATACCTTTTTCCCTTGAATTCCAGGCAAACCCAGGTACCCTGGTTCTCCTGCGGGACCTACTGCTCCTTGTTCTCCCTAGGTAACATAGAAATTACATAAAGATTGCAGACCTACCGCTTATGAAAAACACCAGTTTTTATCCCTACATGCATCTCCAATTTAGAATCCATGGTTACAAAATTAGTTGACATTTAGAGTTACTACTGCAGACATAGTAAAGAATGAAAAGATAACCGGAGTCCTGATAAAACTTCTTACCCTTTTTCCTATCTTTGCTAGTTAAACCATTCTGATAGCAATGTTTTAAAATTTCATAAATATTTGCCATTTTTATTTTATTTTATAGCTTCAACAAGAAAGTAAATAATAAAGTCGTGATAATAAACACAGGTATCTTTTCTTTTATTAACTTTCTCTTCTTCCTTGAAACTGCTTATTCGCATATTGCTACTTTCAAGAACCTATTTTATTGTGATCTCTTCGGCAGCACACATACTAAAGAACCTGTTTTATTGTTACAAAACTGGTGACTAAACAGAACTAAAATTACTGAAAATCTCATTACTCATTGTTTTCACTTTGTTATAGATTTTCTACCTCTCACAAGCACACAATAAACAATTTAGTTACTAAGATTCACTCAGTATGCATGCATCATTTTAGAAGGTCTTTTACCACAAAATATATTAATACTGCAATGTTCTTCATCTGCCGTTAGGTTTTTAAAATGTAATTTTAAATACAGAATAGTACTTAACTGTATTGATTTACCATATTTGTTTTAATAAAATGCCAATTATTAAACATTAGTTTTCACAATTTTTACTTTTATAAACAATATTGGGGTGAACATCTTTGTAGCTAAATAGTAAACACACTTATGTTTTTTTCTTTATACATAAGGAATACTGTTTTTTAGAAGTAAATTTTTGAGCTATCTCCAGTACAGGTAATATTCCACAACTTAATTCCTCTGCTCTCCATCATCCCATGGATAATCCCAAGGGATTATTTCCTTTATGAAATAAAGATTGCTTAAAAGTCTTACATAAGGAAATTTTCTGAAAGTTATAGTGATGATGTGTCAATGACATTTAGGTCATACCTGTAAGATATAGGATGGAATCCTGAACTTGCTTCATGGTTTTTTGGTTTGAGTTCTACCATTAATCCCAAACTCTATCACATTAACTAAAGCCTACTCTCTTTTGTGGAAAGAGCTTTGTCCTCTTTACTTACTATGCTCATTCCTGAACTGTTGAATATTACTGTAGATTGCTAAAGGCTTGGAGAGATTTGAAAATCCTATTGAAATAAACATCAACCATTTGGTTCCTCCAACCATTTGGTTTGGAGGAAACTGGTACAAAGGGCTGTGAGACCCCACACTAAATCCCATCAATCAGCATACAAAGAACAGCACCACTTGTGAGAGCCACACACACTTTCCTTCAGTTATAGAAGACAGTGATATTCTCTGGACCAAAGAGGAGGTTCATTTTAGCATATGGCTTTTAGCATTTCTAGAAAAATCAAGCCAAAGGGTATTTTATGTCTGTTAACCCAAACTATGATAAAGTGTCCAAAAAACAAATGAAACCTCGCATTGGCCATTTTCTTTCATGTTGTAATATAGATAATCCTTCACTTCATATAACTTTTCTTAAGGGATACATCAAATAATGAAGGGGACTTATAATTCTTTGAATATATTTCCAAATGCCTCAAATGATAATTACCTTTAGTCCAGAAGCCCCAGGCATCCCTTGAAGTCCAGGTTCACCTTTATTTCCCTGTCAATGCATCAAACCATTTGAATTTTAAAAAATATTTTCCAAATATATCTGACATAAACACTTAAGAGAATACATTTAAAATAATTCTTACATTTTCAACTCTCCAACTGTTTGAAACATAGACTCTGTATGTTAAGCCTACTTATTAAGAAAAACTCTTTTAGGCAAGGAATGGGTCCCCATATTTATAAAGCTTTCTAAAAGCATGTTTTAAAGCTAGCAGCTACAAGTAAGGGACAAGCTATGAAACCTCAGGAACCAGTGCTAATTAGCTGGGTCTCCATACTCCACAGACCAAAGCCATGTATTTTAACAATGTCCTATACACTGAGAATCTTCATCTTTGCCCTGTTTCATTTTCTCAGCATGACTCACCTTCAGCATGCAACTGACAGAAAGAAAATTAGCTTCAAAGGTACAGTGGCTTTTTTTTTTTTTTGAAAAAATATGAATCAGAAAATGTTTACTTAGTGCTCTTTTTCAGGATTCGAGTGCAGTCCTTTCTAATAGAAGCTGGGAGGGCAAGACCAACTTGACAGGGCAAAGAATATAAAAGTATAAAAGGGGTTGGGTATATATAGAGAGAACACATCTGCTGGCTAATAAGGGGAGACTGTCAAAGATAGTGTTCATTTTCAAATATATTTTGATACCCAAAATCTGGCAAAAGCAAGAGCCAAACTGGGTGTACTAATAAGTAAAGGTAATCGACTTCATTTTCAGCTTTTGAAAAGTTTTCTAGGTTGCTCATGTTGAAACATATGAACACAATATTTGGACTTAAAGCATTCAGCACGTAACAGCATTATTAAGCCATTGAACAATGGTTCCATAAAATTTCTGCTTTTACAAGTGATTAAGCAGAAATTCACAGAGGTGACAAGACTTGCTGCAAGTTACAGGGCTTGATTATGTTAACATATCTTAATGTCATTTAGATAACAATTTTTAAAACTAGAATATAGTGTGGTTTAATGGTTTTCTAAAAAAAAAAGGTATTATAAGCAAAGTTAGATGTTTTCTAAAGATCCACCATAGAGTTTCAGCCTCACCCTTGCCCTATTTAATACAACTTTTTTGTCCCACCCTAAAATTCATACCAATTGATATTGAAGGCAGAGTTCACAAACTTATTAGTTGACAAAACAGGCAGAGATAAACTAACATGGAGGTAAGTAAACTATGGCCCATGGGCTAAATCCAGCCCAATGCATGGTTTTGTAAATCAAGTTTTGCCAGAACACAGGCACATCCCACACAGTTAGTCCATGGCTGCTTTTGCAATATAATAGCAGAGTTGAGTAGTTGCAACAGAAGCTATATGGCTCTCAGACTAAAATATTTACTATCTGGCCTTTTGCAGAACACCTGAGCTAATATACTAAGCGAAAAAGAGTTGAAGTGTCTCACTGAAAAGATTACATTCAAGAGGTATAATTTTAACACTTTGAATCTATTTTTAACAAAAGAATTGTACAAGATGAGAGAAAACAAACTTTACAGTAATTCATGTAAAAATAAGCAGACTGATCCTGGAAACAGCTATATCAGCTTTCCCAGCCATATCAGCAGAATCTACTCAAGTGGTGGATGCCATACAGTATTGTTCTAAAACCTTTTATGAAAATTCCAGATTTAATGACCTCCAGCTCAGTGTGAGCTAACAATGTGAAGTGGCTGATAAAAACAAGCTGATGAAATCTTAGGCTGAATTCATAAGAATTAGAGCATCCAGAAAACCATGGGGAGTCCGCTGTACCCCAGTTACAACTACTATGTATCTTCTTACTCTGTATCTTCTTAGAAAATGACTTTGAGATATTATGCAGGATCTCTACTCGGTAAGGGCTTTATACCAATTCTGTGCATACTTACTACTGCTAGGACACACAATACTCCAAGGATTCACAAGGATCCACCACTGGTGAAAAGGCAGCTACTTTTCCCTCATCACTGGGCTCCCATGATGTTTTATCCTATTTCTTTCTCTAAGTAGTTTTGAAATTAAAAGTAGAATAGATTAGGTCATCTACTCATCTACTCATTTTGTATCCCAGCGTCTATTCCCATGGGACAACGTCTAGTTAAAGGTTTAATTCTTCCAAAAGAGCAATTCCATCATTTCCTTTTGTAAGGTTGTCCTACATTCTACCATTAAATAGTTGAGAATAGTTTGAGTCTAGCCAGAACATACTTGATTTGAGCCTCTAATAAACTAAGAAAAAAAAATAGCTGTCTTAGCACAGGATTCCATATACCTAGAAAATGGTCCAACCATGGTATTCAGAGTTTCCGTTCTATCTTGAGAATAACCTAACCTGACATCCTAAACATATTTGTCAGGCTTGCCTGACACTTTTTAAAAATGAAAGTAAAGATAATATACTATCTTACTCACAGTGCTGAAGGAGAGAATGCCTAACAGAACTCAGGACAAGGTATTTTACAATAAAAATTCCATATACACTCTACCAAATAAAAAGATCAAGATGATGACTTAGGAACTGGTAAAAAGTTATCCTCAATCCTAACTACTAACCCTCTCCATTTGGTGGGGTTTGGCACCAAACTCCATACAACTCTACACGGTCCTCAGTGCCCCTGGGATGATGAGAGAGGAGGAGGGGGTCAAGTAGTGAGAGATTCGGACACTTTCCAGCTTAAACCAGACCTGCTTTACATCAGCCTGTTTTTATATGCTTAGTTTTTGTTCTAAGATTTCATTCTTACAAATGACCGTTCATAGAACTAAAACATTTAAAATAAAATCAGTATAGTTAAAAGTTTTTCTGAGTACATAAATGGTCATTTTCCATAAAGTTTTCTATCTTATTTAGTTTCATTTTGTTTACCTTAGATCCTGGTGTTCCAGGCTGACCGGGTGAGCCATCATGTCCCATCAAACCCTACATTTTTAAGTGGAAGTTTCAAGAGTAACTTAGAAAACAGTATTAGAAAAATATTAAATCCATTTCCAAGGTACCCATTCTCATAATAATCTGCTACAAAAATAATACAATATGGGGAAAAGCTTCCCACATACATCCAAATAAAGGATAATACAAAATCTACACAAGATAGCATGAAGGCCAGCAAAGCCTTCCTAACGTGGTTGCTCAAATAACCTACAAATAGCAAAAATTCCTGGAAAGCTAGTAAAAGAAAAATGTAAACAAAAGTTGATTTTTTTTTCCCTACATTCTCCCTTTCTTCCTTTTGTCAAGATGGCTAAGAATTAGGTTTCTTCATAGATGTCATCCTCGTCAACTTTACATTCAATTTCTGTTTTCTTAAACAATATTTTGAAAGAGTTACCATCTAATATATTCTCTGAATCTAACAATCTCTCTTCAAGTCACAAAATGGTCACATTTTTAACTAAGCATATAATTCAAAATATGACAATAATTACTCTAGCAACAAGGAACTAATTTAATTTAGATTCTACTTTAAATACCACTACATACATTAAAAACATTTGCTTTCTCTTAAACATAGCAAAGGAAACATGATGAGCAAAAAAATATGCAATTAATATCATCAGAAAACATAATCTCAATAGGATCATATTGAAAATACCATATCATCACTACTATGCTTTGCTATCAACATAGGATATTATTGCAACTGTAAAATGTAAAACATACTGGCTCATCACATTGTGTATAAAATAGTAGGTATGTTACATATACATATTCTCAAAGTTCAGTGAAGTTCTAGCCAATACCTTCAGTTTCTGGAAGCTAACTCAGATACTGGTAAATCACCAAGTTTATTCTTTTTTTTTTTTTTAAGATTTTAATTTATTTGACAGAGAGAGACACAGTGAGGGAGGGAACACAAGCAGGGGGAGTGGGAGAGGGAGAAGCAGGCCTCCCGCGGAGCTGGGAGCCTGATGCAGGGCTCAATCCCGGGATCCTGGGATCATGACCCGAGCCGAAGGCAGTCGCCTAACTGACTGAGCCACGCAGGCACCCCACCAAGTTTATGCTTTCAATGAACAAATGATGTGGTAGTGAAGAAGGAAGTAGAATATTCCATTTTAAAGGGAACAGTCTTCTTTTAAACCTCCCCAAAAGTCAAATTCGTATCTAATGCACAATATTTTTCTTATTTACTCTTATGTGCAAAATTCACCAGCTCTTTCACCAAGCAATAGATAAAATATCTGTTTTTAACTTAAAGTCATAAACTGTTAAACATGAAAGATATCCATTTAACTTAAAGAAAAAGCTATTATAGGTAACTTGAATCACAGGTTAAAATTAACATCACTTCTAGCAATTTTTATGCAATCTTGCACACATACAATAGGATTTTCATAATTTCCAATATCAAACTCATATGTCCCTTCCAGTCTCAAAACTTCCAAAATTATTTGTTCACTAATTAAGGATCTTCCTATACTACCTCTTCTGAATATATTCTCCCTCATTAGTGTAATAAATGTGTACTTTTTTTAAAAAAATGAAAAAAGAACATTTAAAGTTTTAGACTTTTTATGGTACTTATTTTTTTAGTAAATAGATAGAATATTTGTTTTCTGGTTTCTGGAAAAATGGACATAATCATTTTCATACAAATGGATCTATGGACCCCCAAAATCCCACTGTTGGATCCCCCCAGTTTTATAAACTCCAAAATAAGAACTCCTGGTACATAGAAAATGTATTTCAAATACCCGATAATAATGACATTAACATACAGGAATCCCTGGAGCTCCTTTCTTTCCTAGTGGTCCTGGAGGCCCAATGTCTCCCTAAAAATCAAATACAGATCAAATTTAAAATTCTGAATTATCAATCCATTTCCAGGAATTTCCCACCAAAGCATTATGAAATGAAAATTCAATACCCATCAGCCCAGTCTGCCTCCCCTTTCTCTACCGTAAAACAGAAGCAACATAGGATGGAAAAATCAGGAACATAACACCTTAAAGATTTGGGCCTAAGGTCTGTGAAATCACTAAGTCATATATTTTTATGAGAAAATCAGGAGCGATACTGTCATTGTTTCAAATGAAGACCTGGAAGTTCACACAGAGTTGGTGAGGTGAGACAACGGGGGGAGGAAAAATCATGTGAAAAATTTTCTTATTTATCACAGATGAAGAAACATGATAGTAAACATAAATTAAGGAAAATACAGGATATAGAATAGCATGTCTACTTCAATTTCTTGGACTGTGGCTAACTAGGTCCTACAAGGGAGTCTTTGAACCCTGAACAACAAGAACAAAAACCTGGAAAGAACATCCTCTGGGAGATAGTGCTGGTCTTATAAGAAGTTGGAGAGGTCTTCAAAGATCCCGCATTTTAATAAAATATACTCTGAGTGGACACTATGATTATGAGGATTTAGATCTATGCAGAAATCTTGCCAGAGATAGAGATGCAGGAGCCAACAAGGCTGGAAGTGTCTAATGCATGAGAAACTGAATGGTGGGCTAGCCATGGGGGGAGAGTGGGAATCTTTAATACCTGGGACGACCCAGGACTCTTACAGGGGCTGACATGATATCCACGGCTACCAGCAGGAGGCAGCTCTCCATGCCCCAATTAGGCGGACAGCACTCACACCAATTAACATGAAGCAATGAGCTCATTTTCATCAAGAAAGAAAGAAGCAGCAAGCCATAAGACTGAGAGTTAACAGAAATAACAAATTGCAGATACTGGAATTGTTAGAAACAGATTTTAGAATATAGGAGATCTTTACAAATTAAAGAATGGAATCATGAAAGATGATTAGGACCGTAAATGGAACAAGAGGCTGTCAAGAACAAAAAGTTCTTATTAAAAAGCTGAACTTTTAGAAATGAAAAGTATGATTGTTTTGCTTTAAATCTATTGATGGTTTAAACAGCAGAGTAGACACAGTAAAGGAAGAATATCTACAGTAGGAAATATATCCAAAAAATTTAACCCGAATGCTAGAATCAAGGATATGAAAATAAGAAGCTCTTCAGAAGCATGGAGGACAAAATGAGAAAGAATAAAATTCATCTAACTGTAATTCCAGAAGGAGGGAACAAAGATTGGAAGAGATGTAATTTGGAAATAACAGGTGATGTCTTCCAGAGTTAGTGGAAATAATTCCACAGAGCCAGGAAGAAAACTGAATTCTCCCCAGGATGAATAAAGAGAAATGCATATCTAGATACACTGTAATGAGTTTTAGAACATGAAAGACAAATACCTTAAAAGAATCCCAAAGGGACTGATCAGTTACAAAAGAACAATAATTAGAATGAGAGCAGATGTTTCATAGTTAATAAGGGAATCCTGGAGACAATAGAAGAAAATCCTCAGCATGTTTTGGTGAAATAATCACCAACCTTGAGTTGTATACCCTACAAAATGATCCCTCAAAACCAAGACTAAAGATATTTAAAATTGGATAAAATCTGAAAGGTTGTTACCAAGATATAGTTCAGGAAGTAGTAAAATTATCCCAAAAGGATGGTCAAAGAGCACAAGATAGAAAAGTAGCCAAGTAAAACAGAAAGCACATGTATAAACCCAAATTAATATTATCCGTATAAAACAAAAACTAATTATAAAGGCAAAATAATAGCTTCTGAAGTTCTATCATATTTGAACAATTAACTGTTGCCATGAAGGTGGTAAGAATGTATTCTATGTGAAGACATTACCACTTTGCCCTTCTAATAAATAGATCCAGCCCCAAATCTTTCAAGTTTCATTAATACTCACTTTCTGTCCCATTAATCCTTGGTTTCCAGGAAATCCTGGCATTCCCTAAAAAGTAATAAAGTAGAATTTCAATTTTAAAAAGTATAGACTGTATCACTAAAGACGAATAAATCCTGATTGGATTTTTAACTTGTAAATAATGCATAATTTCAAACCTATATCATCCACTTACAGTATAACACTGCTACTGATAATAATCCAATTTGGAATAGAGAAAATTTATGGGATTCAATATTATATGAACATCTACTGATAGTTAAAGTTCTAAATAAAGGCTTTCAAAAAGAAACACTTATGAGACTATTAACCTTGGTCTTCTTTCAGACCAACATAAGTGATAAAATAAGCAGCATACTTCATTTAAACATATTCCTATACTATTTAAAATGAATAATGCAAGAAAAACTGTCAAGTCATAGGCGTTCAGATTCAGTACAACAAAGACCCCCACCACCTCACAACCATAATTAAAAACTAGTATAAGACTAACTAATATCCTCCAAACTGAGCCATGAAACACCCAGGAACTTTAATTCCTTCTATAAAATACAACAATCTTTCTCCTCATGATTCCCTTATTCATAAAACTATGAAAAATATGCAGGTCACAGCTTGAGGACAGAAAGAAATATAGAGAACTCTTTCACATGGCTCAACCTAGATGTAGAAGTTCTCCAGCAAGATTCAGAGAATATTAATGTTCATTGTATCAATTTGAGAATAACATTAGCATATTCATTAATGGGCAAGAAGTTCTACTGACAGTCATTCAATGCATTTACCAAAATACTCTTTTACCAGCCAAAGCAAACAGTGATGGCACTAACCAATTTCCATTTTTTATTCATTTTTCTTGGTTCCTTTCTCGAGGGCACTTCAGTTAAAATAAGTAACATTGGAAATAAGTAACTAGACAGATGGCCAAAAAGGAATTTGAAAGACAAGGAAATTGGGACCCATCAGTATTTCTTTGAAAGCCCTCTGCATTATCAGGGCTCTCAAAGAAAGCAGTATTCCTCAGTAAATCAAGGCACGTGGTAGAGAAGCCACTGTCAATGAGATCAAGTTATCTTCTATTACAGGGAGAGTAGACCATTATTTTGATTTTCACATCCTGACTCTGTTAACAAAATATTGGTCAATGTGTTAGCCACGATTATAATGCAAGACACATGCATATAGTTCTAGTTTTAAAAATCTGAACTTGAATCATAAACTGGAATTCATGTTGATTTTATTTGGCTCCATTCATTTTGCCACAGCACTTACACCCTTTGCAAAGAACAAAAGTTGTATGTGAGCAAGGACTATCAACAAAGGGCTTGTAGTCTAGTTGAAAACACAAGCTTTTACAAACATACGAATTAGAAAATAATATAAAACCATATAAATTTTAAAGTAACATTATAAAACATGAGCATAAAAATAAGGAAAATTAAATAACTGCGTTTTTGTAGAAAGAACATAGAATGATATGAATTGTATCCTTCCAAGGCAGAAAATGCGTATTCTCAATGCAATCAATTAAGATCAATATTGTTCCAAATAAAGGCCTCCATTTCGATAGACCATAACTTGGCATGACACCATCTGTAATCAATTCCCATTCAAATATACATATACACACACTCACTATAGTTTAGATTAAGTCCTGAATTGAAATAAAACCTGTCTGTAACATCTTATCAGATACAAGACAGCCATATATTGTTCTATGTTGAAACTGGTGCAGCTGCAGCCATGCAGAGTCCTTTGGCCCCAAGATTCTCTAATGGGGGTCATACGATTACCCATGATACTATAAGACCTGAGAAGCTGAATTTCTTGCTGCACGCTGTCCTTAATGCTTAGAATTTCATCAGTATTAAGTCTCTGTGCCCTCACACAATCTATGATATTAGTACAAGTCAGTTACAATCAGTTACAGATACCCTGCCTCTACTTCTGTTTCTGAAGCCAATTCCAGTGCCAGAAAGGCCACGTCCTCACTGTGGGGGCAAATGGAGTTATGCTCAGGCACCCTGACCTCCACCTCCCAGGAGCCCTTGAGAGCCCCCCCAATTCACACCCTGGATCTGATTTGACACCCCATTATCTAAATAATTATAATACTGAGCTTGGTCTCTATTAGGACATAGCCCCAAATCTTATGTTATTTCAGCATATCAGATATTGAGAGTATTTGGGGGAGATTACAGATTTGAAAAAAAAAAAAAGATTCCTTTTCCTATTGTCTTAACAAGTTAGTAAAACATTAAAATGTAATTCAGAGATATGCAGTCATATATTCTATGCCTAATTATGCCGAGAACTATTGCTTATTTTATAAATATCAACCATAAATATATAAAACTATAGAATATTTAAAAAGAAGATGTAAAACTGATTTACAAAAGCAATTCTTGGCAAAACTAATATAATACCATGGGTATGCATGGAATAAAAGGCTGTTGAGAGAGAAGTTAGCCAGAACTGAAATCATTCAGAGCTATATTAGTTAGATTTTATTTTCCTGGGCTCCCATTTATTGAAACTCACTAAATTTTGCCAATTTTACACTAGCAGAAGTATTATTCAAAACCATTTGAAATTTACCAGTTTGTCGATCCAAAGTATTTAGTGACAATTACTTCATACAGCAAATGTTTTCCAAGCAAACTATTTTATATTTTACTTTCGGCCTGTGTGGTTTTGGATTCAGGCAACTGTGAGAATGTATAAATAAAGACAGAAACAAGCATTTTATTTGGTAAGAGGAAAGCGGTATATTTCCCCACTTCTGTGATTTCAGTCTGGGTTTGAGAAAGAGCAGAAAGTCAAGTGGAAAATCCTGCATAATGTTGTGGTGAGAAAAATGTTGACACAAAAAACGTTCTAGAATCTTCTCTGTAACCATTAAACCATTGATGTGTAACAAAAAGTCATTAAGAATAGAAATACATAATTTAGAATAAAGGGTTTGGCCCCTATTTCCTAAAGACCACTTTGTAATGAAGGAAATATGTCCATGATACATTACTTACAAAAGACAAAAATATCACTTGATACTTTCTCAGGTCCAATGAATTCAGTTACCTTACCCCTGAAATCAGAGCATCTTGGATCCAATCTGCTTGTAAGTAATACAATATTTTCAATGTACTAAAAACAAATCTAACCCGTTAATGGTATTTTTGTATCAAAATTTTCAACCTTTCTGCACAGAGGTAGAGATATTTAATATACAGTTATCAAAATATCAGAAGCATGTTTTTTATTGTATCAAGAAGTGATTTGTTTGTTCCTAAAGATTCATGAACTCTTATTAGCTTATTAGCTAATTAAATTAGCTACAAAATTACAACTACAAATTAGCTTATTAACTACAAAAATTACAACTATTATTACAATGATTATTAAGAAAAAACCCAGTGGAAGCAGTTACAGGTTTAGACCCTGAAGTCAGCCAGCCCATTATCCAGTGGCTGATGGACTCCAGAAGTATCCCCATTTTATACAGGGCAAAATAACAGAATCTACCTCATAAAGTTGGTACATTATATCAATTAACTCTCACAAGCTTAGCTCAGTGTTGGCACTCTAATGAAAAAATTTTCATGACTGTCTTTTCACAGCTCCTCCCTGACCTTTGAAAGTTGTGAAATAGATGAAGTCAATTCTCCCCCATGTCTCAAAATGTGTCCTCCTTCTTCCTTTTAAGGATGTTTTTTTTTTTTTCTGGTGGTGGGGAGGGTGGGGTCTTCCTACCTTGCCTTTCTCTACCCTTGTTTCCAAAATTTCCCATTGTACCCAAGAGGACTCCAGCAGTCTAAGGCTTCCCACTAGGGTGGTGCCAAGTTGGCAGTGCCCGTCATCCACTACCTTTGTCTTTTCGTGTTTGGCTAACTTTGACTACAATGACTTTTGCTTTTTAAACATTCACATGTATTTCATCACAATTCTTTCAGGAAAATGTACGAAAATTTCAAATATATTTTCAGTTGAACCGCACAATGTCTTTCAATCCTCTTTTAAAATTCCACAAAACTGACAGATCATTATGAATGATGTACAAAAGATTACTCTGTGGTAAGAGAATGCTGAAGCGAAGTCACTCACAACCATAGCTGCCAAACCTAACACAAACCAATATATAAGTACTTGTAATAAACCCATAATAAGGAAATCACCAGCTTTACTACTCCCTTTAATACTTTAACACAGTTTTACTACTCCCTCTGATCTTTAAGGGGAAAAAAAAAAAAGAATCTGAGTAACATTAGATGTATTTCTTGTTCCCTAGCCTACGGATCAGGACCCCACATGGGAATGGACCCAAAGTACCCAAAGGTAAGTAATTTCAATAGAAAATGCTTTGGTAAATATTCTGGGTTGCTTATGATTACACACAACAGAAAATGTCACCAGTTTGACATAATAAGTTACAGAAAGAGACCAGGGCTGGCATCAGAAGGAAAAGCTCTCTGGGAGCCCTTACAAAGTTGCTTCATGTTACTGGCATTTCTCTTCAGCATCTACAAGCATTTTTTAAAGGCCAAAAAGATATTCTAAACAATTTTTCTGTTGTCAAAGTATCATTTTTCAGGACAAAACAAAAGACAAATTTGCTTAGCAAATTAAAATAACATACCTGAAAACCCAGAAGAGGAGAGGGAGAACAGGACTCAGAGACCATGGACGCTCTCTGCACTCCCACCACATCGTGGGAAAGTCACAGACGCCCCCTGAACCCAGGACTCCAGAAAATACCCTGTCCCTTTACATTAGCAAGTAAGATCATACACATGAAATATATTAGGGAGTCAAAAGGAACATAGACATATAGACACATGTAATGCTGAAAACCAACTCCATTTGAAAGAAGTTCCAAAATGATATTGGAGCTGCTCTAAAATGAGTTCTGATCCTCTGAGAAGCTAAGAAATGCAGACCATACTTTTTGGTACATGGAACGTCACTGTATAATGTGAAACAAATTGTGATGAATTTCTCATAAAGGAGAAAAATGAAAATGAATTTTCCAAAGACGTTTACAGTCAACTCAG